GCATGTCCGTAGGGACCCTCACAAACTTCTACAGATGCACCATTGAAAGCTGTCCTGATATGGTAACTGCTCTGGCCAGGACCGTAAGAAACTACAGAAGTTTGTGTGCACAGTCCAGCCCATCACAGAAGCCAAACTTCCATCCATGGACTCCATTCACACAGCTCATTGCCATGGAAAGGCTGCCAACATCATCAAAGACCCATCATATCCCAGTAGTGACCTCCTACAACCTCTTCCATCAGGCAGAAGATACAGAAGTTTGAACACACACACCAGCATGTTGAGGAACAGCTTCTTCCTGGCCATTATTAGACTGATGAAAAGACTCTCTAACATCAATGAATGCTGATCTTGCTAACGTTGATCTTGTCTAGCGCACACCCTTTGCAATGTATCCTGTATGCCTCTGTCTAAGTTTTTTTACAACCTTTGATTTGTACATCCTTGCTCACTATGATCTGCCTGTACTGCTCATAAACAAAGCTTTTCACTGTACCCTGGTACATGTGACAATCAATCGATTTAATCAATCAATCAATAATGACTATATTTCCTCTCTGCCAGCCTATGTCACTGCATTAATGCTTGACAGCAGACAGAGTTTGCGAATAAAAAAGTTCAAGACCCTAAATTCTAACATTGGCCTCACTACTAATCCTACTGAAATAAAGTGGCATTAATGAATATTTTCAAACATTTCTCTTGACTTTCACATACCTTCCTTCCTGCCTGCTTACTTCCCACCAAGGTAAGGCAGGTTATAAGTGTTAACACATTAGAAATTCAACTTTTCTTTTGATGTGTCCAACATTTCTACTGCTAATATATACCTTCAAGATACCTCGTCAGATTAGAGCTGGAGACAAACTACTTGGATGTCACACATGACCATAAATTCTGTAGCTGCAGAATCTGAAATTGAACTAAATCAATCAGATGCTTTCTGGGATAATTTTCAAAGGTACCTATGAAAAATTCCTGATGGCCATGAAAAGAAAAACAATGGTTTGACTAATTTCTTTCAGGAATAGGAAATTACCATCCATCTAACCTGACCTACATTGTAACTCCAGTAATTCACCAAGGCTCTTTCTCAGTTTTCATTCATAAATAATAAGAACAGGAGATGGCAACTTTTAGTGGTGAAGAGTTTATTGATCAGGAGGCTGCGTTCTTAAATATGCACTATTTAATGAAAGTCCTTGCCAATTCTGCAGACTTGAAACAATAACTCTGTTTCCCTGACTGCCGATGATGTCAGACACCTCCAGTTTCTTCAGTATTTTCATTTTTCTTTCAGCATCCAAAACGTTTAGGTTTTATTTCAGTACCAAATCTTATGAAGAAAGCAGGGATGAAGTTCCCACATCTGCTGAGGTGTTCTAAGTTTGAACTTCCAGGCACAGTATATAAAGGGCAAGTGCAGAGCACTTCACTCTGAAAATGCCAGGACCATCAAACAGTCAGTGTTGGTCACCTTAACCCAGCCTTCGAGATGTGTAAGTCTCGATAGAAAGCATCCCTAAGGTTTAACAATACTTTCTAGAGATTCTCCAGCAGACCATCTGGGGGAGAAATGATATTCTGATCCTGAAGGATGGCAATAGGAAAGCATCCCGATTGACAAAGCCAGCATGAACCATGATAGCAACAAAAGGTTAGCACCTGTGGTTAGCACAAAAGAATTAAACCCCAGTGCCACAAGAGGAGGAATGGTCTGTTATTTTATACTGGATTATTTGCCACTATCTACTCAATGGAATTCATATTCATAGGAAAATGGAGCATTGCAAGTTTGCCACTTCAGATGACTGCCAACAGGACATTAGGTGGCAAGCATCTCCATCAAATGCCATGTGTAAACTGTACATGTGTTATTTAAAAAAAAACAGCTATTAATGTTACGCTATATTAGTAGCCGCTGTCATACATATACCAGAAAACACAGCAAAAATGCAAAAAGTAATCTAGAACACTCAGCTGCTCAGGGATTATCTGGTCTCTGATTTTTAATTACAACTAGGAGAACTTAAAGATCTAAGAGATTTCCAGCAAGTGATTGGATGAAGAAAGGAATGTAAAATATAGTTTTGCTCTCAACAGTTCAATTACTTGCAGTGGTAGGCCATTCAGCCCCTCAAGCCTGGCCCACCATTCAATAAGATCATGACCCAATCTGTTTGTGTTATGAATTCCACATTCCCATTTGCACTCCATAACCCTTGATTTTCCTGTTTGCAAAAACCTATTCACCTCTGGCTTAAAAAATATTCAATGACGCCGCTTCCAAAAGTCTTCTGAGGTACAGAGCTCCAAAGTCACACAACCCTCTGAGAGAAACAATTCTCCTCATCTCTGACTTGAAACAGTGAGTCCCAATCATCACAGCCTGCCAATCAGAGAAAGAACATTTAAGCGTCTCTCTGCTTTCTGTCAGGGAATTGTCTACCCATGCCAATATATTACTCCCTATACCTTAAGCTTTAAATTTCCACAGTATTTGGTACGTTTTGTTTTGATATTTTATTTGGTTCGTCTACCAGTGCATTCTGGGAATCTAATTACAGTATGTGTCCAGGCTCCCCTTTATTCACAAAACGTGCTCTTCCTTCAAAAAACTCTGGTAATTTGGTTAAAAATGGTTTTGCTTTGACAAAACTATGACGATTATTCCCCACTGTCTGGAGTTTTTTGAAGTGCATATCTTTCTTTAACGATCAATTCTAACACTTTCTCACAACAGATCCTAAGATATAAATTCCTATTTTCCATTTCCATTCCTTCTTGAAAAGATGGGTTCTATTTGCTACATTCCAATTCAATGGAACTTTTCCTGAATTGAGAGAATGTTGGAAATTAAATGTAGTCACATATACATAACATCCATCTGGTCCCAAAACCATGCTCCATCAGTTTCTCAGGGCCACTTCCCTCATGTTTGCAATTTTGTCAAGTTCCTTTCTCTCTTCCTCCTCCTGATTGATAAGTATTACCTAAATGTTGTTTTGTTTCCTCTACTGTGGAGACAGAAACAAAACATTCACTGCATGTACTATTTCCTTATTACCAAATATTGACTCATTGTTATCACTTTCTGGAGGACTAACGCTCACTCTACATACTCTCCTCCTGTATAAGTATTTACAGAAACACTTGCTATCCAATTTCATATTTCTAGCTAGCTTCCGCTTATACCCTAATGTCTTCCTCCTGATTAACCTTCACAGTATTTCTGTTCTTCTTAATATACTGCTTAATCATCTGAACTGTAACGTCTTTATGGAGCACTTTTTGTTTATGTTTAATACCTTCCCTAATGTCTTATATTAACCACAGTGGCTATTCTTTAAAACTCGGCTTTATAGTGTGAATATACTTATTCTGAGTGTTCTAAAATTACCCCTTAAATGTCTGCTTTTGCATCTGTTTTGAGATATTGTGTAGCCTATTATGCCATTCACCTCAGCTAGCTCAAATTTCATGATCACTTAGTTACCATTGCTTTGAGTTAAAATACACATCTTAGACCCAATCTTCTATCTGTCAAACATGATTTAAAATTTAATCATACAGTTGTTGCTGCTACCTTGAGTGCCCTAACTCTGAGGTCATTAATTAATCATATCATATTACACAAAGTAAATTCAATATAACCTACTTTCTGATAGGTTCCAACATGTGTGAGTCTAAGCAGCATATGAACTCCTCATCCAGGCTCTTACTGCCAATCTGATTTTTGTCCAGTTTCTATGTAAATTATCTTTACCCAATAGTATTTCCATCCCTTTATCGCAAGTATCCAATATTTCTTCTTGTACACTTTGTCCCACATTATGGTTGCTTTTAGGGTCTCTTTAGACCACTCCCAGTAGTGATTTATTTGCTCTACTATTCGCCATCTCCACGCAAATTGATTTTACATCTTGATCTCCCGAACCAAGGTCATCTGTAACTATTGCAGAAATGACATTCTTGACTAACTGTGCTATTTCTTCATCTTTACGTAGATTCCTATATTTCCCTCCATAATTAGGACTCAATATTTATCATTCTGTAGCCATGACTCTCCAATTATGATCAGACCATATTTATTTACTTGAATGTATACCATCAATTCATTTATTTTGTTTTGAATGCCATGCACATTCAGGTACAAAGCCTTTAGTTTTGTCTTTTTGTTATCTTAGTAACAGTTAGTCTTCATTGTTGGCATATTCATAGTTTTCTCCCTGTCTGCCACTTTCTACAATTTGTTGGCCCTCATTTTCCATATTACTAGCCTCCTCTCTGACTTTGTCTCCACTCTTTGATATATCATATTTTATATTGCAGCATTGAGACAGTCAGCCACAACCAAATCAGCCTTTCTACCTGTGTATTTGAAACACAGTAAAATTAAAGCATTGAAGGCATCCAAATAGTCACTCCAAGCCAGACTTTTGAATAACTAATTCCAGATTTTGCAAATAATTATTTCCAGACACCAGTCTTGTATCTTAAGCATAAGACTTAATTGTTTATCAAATACACAGTGACTTCAGCAGAGAAAAATTAACAGAGTAAGCTGATTAATGTCTAGGCTTTACACCTGAAAGATTTATTTTCAGCCTCTGTTTATACAAAAGACAGACAAACACAGTTAAGGGATAAATAAAAAAAATAACAAAACTAGCCAGATTTCTTCAATAGCTTTGATGACACATTGGCTTACAGGCATAAATCTGGAGTCCTTGATTGCTTTTCTGAAATGTTGATTAGGGTCACCTTCTCAGTTCACCCAGGCAAAGGCAGCAGTACTTCTAACTCAGATTTCTACTCTTTGGGTTTCTGAAAGCTGGTGTATCAGATGAGACAGTGAGTTTCAAAACTTCATGCTGTCTCAGCAGCAGCCCAAAACCATCTGTCACAAAACACTGAATTTTTAAAAAAATCTTCAATTCTGGTTCTTCCTTTATAAACTGATTGACTCTTCCTGAGGCCTCGATTGATTCATGATACTATTCAACGGTTGATATCTGCTCAAACATAGGGTCTTTTCCGTACTTGTCAGAACCAATTGTTAGGCACTGGCTTTGGTAATAGCCAACTTCAACTATCTTTTTAAGCATAACGCTCCACTCAGGGTACCTGTGTCTGTTGGAACCCTTTTAATCAGGAATCAGCCAACAAATATTAAGTCAGTTATTTTCCTTTTGCCACAAGCTGTCCCAAAGTTCACAAATCATTTCAAACTCACAATTCAAAATTGATTAAAGAATAAGCATAAAAATTATGAAAAATAAGTAAGGGTTTAAATACTTTTAATGTGTGATCCCTTGTTCCCATAAATTAGATTAAGTACTCTCTTACTTCCTTAGGTTTATAGTTTGTAGGAAAATTGGCTCCAGCATGATTCAGGTGTAAAGCATCCCAAAGGCACTGCCCCCCGCTTTCATCAGTATTGGTGCCAATGCCACAAGAACAGGAGCACATTTCTCCCACATCAATCTAATTTCTTGTATGTAATGTCAATTTACATCCAGAGATTATAACCTTTGAGGTTCTCCTTTCTAATTTCGTGACCAGATCCTCATACTTTTGATTGAGAGTCTGGTTCCAGTTCTACCTATGTTGTTGGTACTTACTTAGAACACAACAACTGGTTCCTCCTCCTGTCATAGCAATTTCCTTTCCAGTCCTGAACAGAAGTTACAAAACCAGGCATTGAATGACAATACAACAGCCTGGATTCTTGCATTTGCTGTCAAAAATAATGTCAAGACCCCTCATTATTCTATAACCTACTATGACTATATTCCTCATTCGTCCCCACATCTAACTGGCTTCATAATCAGTTTGCTCATTTACTCTGCAGCTACCACTCTCAACCAAACAGGCTGAGAACCTCAAAACATGTTAGGCAATCACAGAGGTTATTACTCCTGCACTCTTACATTAAGGATCTCATTACCTGTCTCATTCACATTATCATATTCCCATCTGTGACCACTGTCTACAACAGAAGACTTTCTCCTAAGTAATGCGACGGCCTGCTGCAACAATGTACCCAGGTAACTTTCCCTCTCCTTGATGCATAACAGTGTCTGCATTTCAGCCTTCAGGTAATGATGTCTGAGCTGAAACTACTTTAACTTCAAACATCTACCACCAATGTGCTTGCCTTGGATCACAATGGTATGTAGGAGCTCCCATATGCTGCAGCCTTGACTTATCACCTGAACTTCCATCTTTAATAACTAAATATAATTAATAGGGATGTTGCACCTGAGAAGACCTTACTTATAAAGTGTGATTACTTTGGAAAGAGTGACTTCTGAAGTTGCAATTGAAATGCAACTGCACTGAACATCTGACAGGTGCAGTGCACAATATTTAATTTATTCATAAGCATGATATGAAGATCATTACCATGACCAGCACTTGATTCACATTCTTAATTTCCCTTGAACTGTGCGGCTTGATTCGTCATTTCAGAGCACAGTCATGCACATTGCTGTTGTCTGGAGTGATATGCAAGTTGGGTAAGGAGGGCAGATTTCCTTACTGAAAGGACATTAGTGAACCAGATAGGTTTTATGTCACCAATAAAATAGCATTTAAATTCTATTGCTTTTTAACATTTCACCATCTGCTTTGTTCGGTTTCAAAACTATGTCCCAGAACAGTAGCTTGGGGCTCTGCATGCCTTATCCAGTAATGCTGCATTATATTGCTACATCATCACATTTCTTTGTATGATAAGGAAAGTTCAATGCACAATCTGATGGCCCCAACAGGTGAAAAAGGTAGAAATAGTTGGGATTCTTTTCCTTGCCAAATACACATTGAATCATTGAATAATAGATGATAGAAGCAGAGTAGGCCATTCAGCCCCATCGAGCCTGCTGTTCCATTCAGTATAATTATGGTTGATCATCGAGCTCAATACCCTAATTCCACCCTCCCCATTTATTCCTTGACCCCTTTAGCTATAAAACCTATATCTACCTATTTCTTGAAAACACATAATGTTTTGTCCTCAATCACTTTCTGTGGTAGTAAATTCCACAGGCTCACCACTCTGCGGGTGAAGAAATTTCTCCTCATCCTAGAAGGTTGACTCTTTATCTATGATCCCCAGATCTGGACTCCCCTAAAATCCTGCAACAGCCTTCCTGCATCTAGTCCTGTTAGAATTTTATTGGTTTCTATGATATCCCCCTTTATTAATCTAAACTCCAGTGAATATAATCCTAACTGATTCAACCTTTCCTCATGTCTGCACTACCAACCCAGGAATCAGCGTGATAAACCTTTACTGCACTTCTTCTACATCCTAACTCAGATAAGGGGACCAAAACTGCGCACAATATTGCAAGTGTGGCCTCACCAATGCCTCACAAATTACAGCAAGATATTCTTGTTCTTCCTGTACTTGAACCCTCTCACTATGAAGGCCAACATACACTTTGCCTTCCTTACTGCCTACTGCACCTGCACACTTAATTCCAGCAACTGGTGCACGGAGACACCCAGGTATCGTTGGACATTCCTGTCTCTTTACAACCATTTAAGTAATAATCAGCCTTTCTATTTTTGCTACCACCAGTTGGCAAGTTGTATGTTTACTTAATAGGAATTTCAAACACAAGATACTATGTTGATCCATTGTGTTATTCCCTCACATTGTTTCCTGCACATTACCAAATTTGATAAAACTCCTGATTTAATCGTAAGAACGATATTCTGCTTGCTTTACACTACAAAATTATGCTGAGCTTTTGTGTACCAACTTAATCATTGTCTCAGAAATAGAAAGGATAGATGGTTGCTCAAGGTAAAATACAATTACATTGCATGAACAAGGCAGTGTTAATAAATCATGAACAGTACCAGAGTACCTGATGTAATAATACTCAACAGAATTGTTACAGTTGCAATTCTTTTCAATGCCATAAACTTGGGATAAGTTCACAGCTGCACACTCAATAAACCTTCCATCAGGGATTGCTCAATTCAATAAAAGTCAAAGCCTTCTCTTAAAGCCTTTGATAGCACCTGCACAATGTAGAGACGTAAGGTATATGATTAGCATAATGGATCAGGATAATTGCACTCTATAGACATAATTTATTGTTCTTTTTTTTTGTTTGAAGTGGAGAATGTGATTTGATGCATTCCACTTCATTGTTTTCTTAATCTTCTTGTTTCAAATCTATTTAACACAAGAACATTAGAAATATGTGTAGGAGAAGACTACAAGACTCCTTGAGCCTGTTCCAACAATCAATTGGATCATGGCTAATCTTTGGCCTCAACTCCACTTTGTTGCCAATTCCTAGATCCCCTAATTTCAAACAGTTCAGCAATGGAACATCCATAATTCTCTGACGGAAAAATTTCCAAACATTATTAACCCACACCGTGAAGGAAGCTCTTCTCATCTCATCATACAAAATAATCACCTTCCTCTCCTGAAACGGTTGACCCTTGTCCTTAATTCTCCAGCTGGGGAAATCAATGTCTCAGTTTCTACTTTTTCAAGCCCCTTCATAATGTTTGAATGTGATAGGGTCTTATTCTTTTGAAGCTCATAGAGTATATGTCCAGCTTACTTGTTCTCTTAACCCAAGGAACGCCACTCTTCTCAGGAGCTAACCTAGTGATGGCACTGCAGAGGCAAGTGCATCTTTCCACAAAAAACAGACAGCAAATCTACATGTTGTACGTTGAGCCGACCTCATCTAAGTCCTATGCAATTGCAACAAGAATTCCTAATCCCCATACGCAAAACATCTTACAATAAAGGCCAACATCTCACGTGCTTTCCTTGTTGAGCATGCTAAATTTCCACATTCCTTATACAAATATTCACCAATCTTTCCATAAATTTATTCAATAGGACCTGTGAATATTTCCTCTTTCATGTTCGTTGGTTGTAGATGTTGAAACAATCTCAAATGCATTATAATGAATCAGTTTGTCAGTTGCCTAATACTTCAAAGAAACATAAATATCTTCCTGGCTCTTTAATAACTACATATTTTTAATAACTACAAGTGTAAGGCAAATTTCAATTAAAGTCAGAGAGTCATAAAGTTGTATGGCATGGAAACTGATGCTTCGGTCCAACTCATCCATGCCGACCAGCTATCTTAAATAAATCTGGCCCTATTTGCCAACATTTGGCCCATATCCCTCTAAATCCTTCCTATTCATGTAGATCATGCTTTATCAATATTGTAATTATATCAGCTTCCACCACTTCTTCTGGCAGTTCATTCCATACATGCACCACCCTCCACGTGAAAATGGTACCCCTTAGATCCCTTTTATATTTTTCCCCTTCATTGATGCACTCTAGTTTTGGATTCCCCTACCCTGGGGAAAAAACCTTGACTATTCACCCTATCCATGCCCCTCATGATTTTATAAACCCCTATAAGGTCACCCTTCAACATCAGATGCTCCAGGAAAAATAGCCCCAGCCTATTCAGCCTCTTCCTCTGACCCCAGCAACATCCTTGTAAATCTGCACCCTTTCACCTTTAATAACATCTTTCCTATAGCAGGGAGATTAAAATTGAATACAGTATTCCAAAAGTGGCCTAAACAATATCCTGTACAGTGGCAACATGATATCCCAATTCCTTTACTTAATGCCCTGATCAATAAAGGCAAGTGTACTAAACACCTTCTTCACTACTGTGTTCATAGATTCTATAGATGAATCTGAACTAACCCTTTATGTGCATTTGGATGGATTTTAATGTTTCAAAAGTAGAACATCTTGAGAGACTTATTTATCGAGGAATTTAGGAGCAAGAGTAGGCCATTCAGCCACTCAAGCCTGTTCCATCATTCAATGAGCTTATGGCGATCCGTGGCCCAACTGCACATATCTGATTTTAGCCTACTTCTGTTTTGTCTTGCAGCTTCACTCAGATTATCAAGATCATCCAAAGTGATAAGTCAAAGTGATAGAAATGCTGCAGTACAGCACTCTGTTATGCCAATCCCATACCCGTGGCATGTGTCAACAGCCTACATGCCAAACACACTGCATGTGTATCAAACAAATGGCAATCTGGAGATTAGTTAAACACTTCGAGTAGATGTGGTCAGTGCATGTGCAATGTTACATTTCAGGAGGTACAGCATGATC